GGAAAGAGAACATCATCATGGGATTGTGTCCGATGAGTGCAGCTTAAGGGCTACTCATCTTCACAGTCCAAGGTTGAAGTGAAAATTATCTCTTCATAAATGTTTTTATTTTATTCCTTAGACCCTGCACAACACGTAAGATTTATGGTATATAAATAGGAAGTGAAAGGGAAGATGAAGTTGGGATCTGACTCTAGTTCTCTCTAACTCACTCTCTCTCTCTCTAAGAAATTCTCAGCTTCCTTCCACCACTGTCACAAGGTCTCGACAGATTATACCATATCATACATCTTAAAGAGGTTCAACACTTACAAATGCTAAAGTGGCATGCTCACATGTCAACTATTAGAAGGTCGATAATGACTTCTCAAATCACATTCTACAATAAATGTTAAGACATTAGTTGGTTGTGTTTGAAAGACTAATAGAACGTTACTAAGTATTTTATGCCAAGAAATGTTTGGTCTACTAAGAACTGATTGAGTAGAACATCGCTACTCTCAATTTTGATCATTACCCTTTCTTAACCTTAGTTTATCATGCATTGCTTCATGCTATTAAGGTTTTGCCTTTCAAGAGCTATCAGTGTCTAACCTCCTTGGATTTAACTTATGGACCCAAAGGCAACTACAATTTTTGTTTATTTGTTTTTGTGTTTGTCACAAAAAGGAATGTCAATTTGAATTAACAAGTAAAATTCAAGTTCGACACATACGATCCAACATGAAAATAACCAACCTGAACTGAACCCATTAAATAAACGTTTCAAAAATTATAACTTGAACATTAGCCGACCAAACATAAACCTGCTTTGGACAACCAATATAATATTTAAATCGTAATAAGTCATTGCCAATCGACAAAAAATAGATATTATTATAAGATTTCAATGTGAAAAATGAAAACATAAAAGAAAATATTATCTAATATATGTTTTTATTTTTTTAAAAAAATCAAATTATTAAACTAAATTTTTTGCGTTGAGCCAAGCCCAACATTAAGTGGCTCGTCCAAATTTTTTCAAGTAATTTAAGCTATTCAAATTTAACACAAATATTGCATTGTTGATATGAATTGAAATTGTCACATTAGTTTTGAGTTAGATTTTTATGTTTGGTTCAATATCAACACTTCTTAACACAAAAACTCATCAAAATGGAGTTCAATATTTGCTGAAAATGGGTATAAATCTACAACAAACACACACACACACACACTCTCTCTACCTTGAGTAATCCATACTATGATCCCGAAGCAAAATCAACCTTCCCACTATGAAATTAACACTTTGAATTGTGTTGCTATAAAATTTTGTAGTCAGACAAGCAATCCCATGGTAGTTCAATTGATTAAATGTAAATGAAACCATCAGCACAAATAATAATTAGTAATCCATCGACAGCCACTACAGAGGAATTGGATGATAAAGTAAACAACAGCCAAGCAAACCCTCTTTAATGGCCATCATTGAACACTTGTGCATTAAAAATATGACAAAATGTAAGAAGAAAACATGCAGCTTTCTACCGAATACCACCCAATTACCATATTGAAGAATTCCAAAGTAGCAAGATCTGACCCCATGGAGACGAACATCAATCAATGCTGCAAAACCTATTCAGGCAGCCGGGGTTGATCATTAATTGCATGCTGCCATTGTTGGTTTTTTTATACTTCTTTTCTGACTATAGCCATGTGAGCCACACATGCCCAATCGGCGCCTTAAATTTGGTAATAGGGGTCTTTTAACCATTTTCCACCCTGAATTAACGGTGTCAACAACCTCATGTGATCTTGTCAAAATTTTCAATTCACGCAACTACACGGGATGACCTTGTTTCCGGGAAGAATTATTAAGGAGGAATTTTGGAATTAAGATATTAAATTCTAAATTATATATTATGTTTTAAGACTGCATTCCTTGAAAGATTCTCTATGATGTTAGAAAATGCACATTTTTATTTGCGACAATTAAAACAGTTATAAATGTATATAAAAAATATTGTCATGATGTTGATTCTGAAGAGACCGACGGTTTAGAGGAGAGGAGAATGATAAAGGAAGGTTAACAAATAGAAGACCCGGAGGCTCACGCCCACCATATTATGAACGAGTTTTCTATATTTATTTTGTATTAATACTGCAAAAAAGCATCGTTGCTCTTTTTAGAAAACAGGGCGTAAAAAAAATGCAGGGTAAAAATCAAAGTAATATAAAAACACCGAATAAATTCCCCCATCAATCCTATTTAAACCCACAATTCTTCCCTTACTTACCCAAACTCCCCTTCCCCTCTGCTCTTTAAGCTGCACAGAGGGAGCAAAATACAAACTTTTAGTGAATGGCAGCCAAATTATTCTTTTTTCTCCTGCCCTCCTTCTTCCTTCCTTCAGCCATTGCAACTTTTCGCGCCCCTACATTGTCGGCTGCAGTCCCCGACCCCGAGCTGGTAGTTAAGGAAGTTCACAGGTACGCTCACAGACTCATCAACGATACAAACCAATTCTCAGGATTTATTAAATTGTTATCCTGCTTTAATTATTTACCCCCAATATAAACATCAAAAGAGTGTTGTCAAACTCTAAGAAAAGCAGCATAAGAAAATAAAAATAGTGGAAATATATTTAAATGGATCAATCAACTTGCCGAAACAGAAAAAGCAGTGCAATTTCTCGTAAAGAACGTCATTAATCCATTCAGCTAAGAAATTAATATTCACAAATTTCAGGAATTTTTATTTAGTTTTTAAGTGTTGCATTCTTTTCTTTCGACGTCAGCCATCAAAAATTCATTTGAGCCAATTTTATGAAGAAAAAAAAATTCCAACCAAATAATCCGGAGCATTTAATCATCCATCCATTCACCTTTGCAGGAGCATCAACGCCTCCCGCCGGCAGCTCGGCTATCTCTCATGCGGAACCGGCAATCCCATCGATGATTGTTGGCGCTGCGATCCCAATTGGGAAACCAACCGCCAGCGGCTCCCCCACTTTGGTCGCAACGCGCTCGGCGGCAAAGGTGGCGCCACTTACATTGTAACCGATAGCGGTGACGACGATCCCGTTAACCCCAAACCAGGCACCCTCCGCTACGGTGTCATCCAAACCAAACCCCTCTGGATCGTTTTCCAGCGCGATATGGTCATCCAACTCAAAGAAGAACTCATGATGAACTCCTACAAAACCCTCGACGGCCGCGGCGTCAGCGTCCACATAGCCGGTGGGCCTTGCATCACCGTGCAATATGTAAGCCATATCATCATCCATGGCCTATACATACATGATTGTAAGCAGGGGGGAAATGCATATGTGCGTGACTCGCCGGAGCATTATGGATGGAGAACGCTGTCGGATGGAGACGGTGTTTCGATATTTGGTGGAAGTCATGTTTGGGTTGATCATTGTACGCTGTCGAATTGCCGGGATGGGCTTGTTGATGTCATTCAGGGGTCGACGGCTATCACCATTTCGAACAATTATATGACTCATCATGATAAGGTGATGCTGCTCGGACATAGTGATGAGATGGTGCAGGATAAGAACATGCAGGTTACCATTGCTTTTAACCACTTTGGAGAAGGGTTGGTTCAGAGGATGCCGAGGTTTGTTTCTCCCCTGTTTTTAATTAGCCGTTATCCTTCCATTATTTTTTAAGAAGATTAATGCTTCATATGCATCAATCACATAAAAATGTTTCGAAAAATTTGTTAATTTGTAAGTCAGTGTTAATTAAATCTAGTATTTATATAGCTGTAATTTGTACTTTTGCTTAAGCTAATTTTGGTACGAGGGCTTTGATGGTTAGTTATGACTGGAAAGAGGTAATGTGATCGGGCAGGTGCAGGCTTGGATATTTTCATGTGGTGAATAACGACTATACGCACTGGGAAATGTACGCAATTGGAGGAAGCGCGGCGCCGACGATAAACAGCCAGGGAAATAGGTTCCTTGCGCCGGACGACCGTTTCAGCAAAGAGGTGAGCATCTTTTTGCGGTTTGGTACCCTTTTTCTACTTATTTGTACTCTATTAATTAGGAGGAAAATAATGTGCTTTTCTATTTATGGTTGGTTGAAATGTCGCTTTAGTTTCATAATCTTGTCTGTATTTGAAAGCAAATATAGTGAATACTAACTTTTATTTTACTGAAACGGTTAAGCAAGAGGGTTCTTATTGCTAACAAAAACAATATTTGATAGGAAGATTTACATACCGACCACTCAAATATGTATTTTTTACATATTTAATATCTAAATTTCATTTTTAACATACATACCACTTTGTCTATGCATGCAAAAGGTGTGCTTCAGTTTTTGAACATTAAAATGGATAGAATTGTGTGGTATAAATATAAAAAATTTAGGTGTTATATATGTAAATGAATAGCACATTAATAATACTATTCGTTGCAGTTATTCCTAATGTAAAAATAAATAACAACAGTTTACACCATGAAAAAATAAGGCGGGTGATAGGTTTGTCGGTTGGAGGACTGTGGTTGCTAATAGCCAAATCTCACAACTAACTAGTTTAATGAAGCTATTGGAATCATGCACTACGTGGGGCTTCCCAAAATTTGGTACCGTAGTGCTACGGTTCGAATCTTTCGGCATATAAAATTCTCATTTTGTTCTTTATGCATTATTTCTTCGAATTTACATATCTAACCTCTAAATTTTGATTTTAACATTTATGAAATTCAAAATTTTCAATTCACATAAAAAAAATATCGCCATCATTTATTTCTAAGAACTGAAGTAGAAGTATTCATTTAAGGTAAAGTGATCTAAATGTAAATGTCAAAATTTAGCTATTAGAATATATATATAAATACATTATTGTGGCATTGACGTAAATCTTCTTGTTTCTGTTTCCTTGCAAGCCACCAACACGGCCCTACATATTCGTCTTCAAGGCATCTTTAATATTTGTTCTAAAGATGATATTTTATATTTGGGGGCATTTACATATATGCCACCCGATTCCTATATATTTACATATTTAGCACCTAACTTTTACTTTTTATATGGATTCCTTTTTCATATCACAGAAAAAAAAAATTACTATTTTAACTTAATTTTAACCTTTGAAAAGTGAAATGCACCTTTTTCTTATATGACTAAGTTGTCATATATATAAAATATAAAAACTTAGTTGTCCCATATGTAAATACATACCAATTAAGTGGTATGTATGCTAATCTTCCTGTATATTTAATAAACATCCCCTCAACCTTTATAATTTTTTTCCTAATAATTTGTAACTAATTACCTTCTATGTCGATGACTATTCAATTGAATTAGTGATATGTGACATAGGTGACTAAGCGAGAAGACTCGCCAATGAGCGAATGGAAGAACTGGAACTGGAGATCAGAGGGAGATTTGATGTTGAATGGAGCCTTCTTCACCCTGTCGGGCGCCGGAGCATCTTCCAGCTATGCCAAGGCATCAAGTTTGGGAGCTAGATCTTCTTCTCTGGTTGGAGCCATAACCATTTCGGCCGGTGCTCTAGTCTGCAAGAAGGGACGCAGCTGCTGATTATTCATTAGTTTAAGTCCTAAGTACATGTCTCTGTTAATTTAAGAAAAAAAGAAATTTAGTATCAGCTGTTAGCCAGAGCTAGCCTTTAATATATGTGTGCATGACATCGCTTATTAGGTGATGTATAAGTGCTAGTTAGCAATTAGAATTAGAAATCTCCTTTTTTTTTTCTTTTTTTTTTCTTTTTACATATTTGTGTGGATTTAGTGCCTCTTGTTGTACCGACCTCAAGCTGCTCTCATCATAGAGGCAGGCAGTAAGGATGTGTTGAAGGATTATTTCCTAAATTATTATGTATTAAGCTTACTTATATGTCTTGTTAATGATTTATTGTCTGGTTCATTTGTTATATAGAGAGAATGTGATGTTTGAATCTGCACCACACATGTATTATTGGGACATTCATAAGAAAGTTGAAGATTGGATACAAAATCTTATTGATTAAGAAAAAATAGCTATGCTTACAATATAAATTCTCTTTAATGAGATGGGAGTGTTCAAAGCCCAGACAATTGACTGAGGCATTTAAATACTTAACTCTCAATTCCTAAGTTTTTTGTATATCTAAAGGCTAAATTTTCTTCTATTTATTTCAGTTTAAATTATTTATATCTTTTATATCGCATCAAAATGCCATAATTTTAACTTTAAGCCTGTTCATGCATGGATAAGATGACATATATGTGAAACCTAAAGTTTAAGCACTAGACAGGTAAATACATAGGAATTGAGTGGTATGTAAGTAAATCTCCAAATAGAAATCAAACTTCTTGAAGAGTACCAAGGTTCCTCTTTTTAAATACATTCGAGACCTCTTTAATATTTTTGGGATGTGAGATTCCATATAATTCTTGAATTAATACAATCAGGAAGAGATATTAAAGGAGTGAGAAAAAGCTGAGGTATTTTTACAAAGTTATCATGGATACGAGATTGAGAGAGAATAAAAAAGAGGGAGAAAGAGTCCCCTACTTTTCTCTCGTTTATTTATAAATCAAAATCTTATGTACTTGCGCAAATGCTAGGAAATAATTAGGCTATACGATGTGTAGTACGGAGTTTGAGTAAACCCATTGTCAAAAAAGGTCATGCTATTATTAAATGACGATATTTATACTAACAGATAGAAATTCTCTTTCATTTGCCTCAGGGAGCTGCTCTTCAAGCTTAATTGTGTAGACAAGTAGTTGTCAGTGAGTAGAGTGGGAAGGTCCAACCATCTTGTACAAGTATGGAATAAGAACTCAGAAGTGTTGGTGAGTTTGACCAAAAGAGCTTACGTAAAGATCGAGGTTGAGTAGACTCATTATAAGGAACTCACTAGATGTTGGCATACTTCGGAGGTATTCACATTTTTTTGAACGGTAAGGAGCTCTGTTGCCTGTCACTTCCAAAAATACGACTAATAAGTACTATTGATCTAGTCAGTGTCTGCCCACTACATGCACAACTGTTAGACTCGATCCATAAAGCCCTTTAGGTATATTTATCAATTGGGCTTTCCTAATGTTTAACAACTCATTTTTGGGTATACATTTTATTCCTCGATTCTCTTAGCTCTTCGACAGGATATTGGGAAAAGAATGGAATAATGAAAAAATAAAAGAATAAATGACCTCTATATAAAGTTAGAGGGAGGAAAAGGTGATGATAAGTGCTCTGACCTATCGAAATTGTTTGGGTATATATATATATGATCAAAACAATGCTTTCTATCATCAGTAAGTTCTATTAGCTACGCCTTAAAGAGTGGTCATATGACTTTACCATTAAGCTCAGACCGTTTTTTCTCTGAAGGCTCGGAAGCTACACCCACTGAGAGTACTAGTGAGTACTCTCGAGCAACTATAGAATGTGTCTCATTCAGAAGTCTTCACTTTCTCTGTAATGGAAGAAAATCATTCTGTGATAATGGTCCATAGATGTTTTAGGAGGACTGCTCCTTTCCAAGCTATTCAGGGTAGAAGCACATATTGTTACGAGATATGAGACTTATTTCAGTCACCCAAAAAGTGTGCGTTCCTGAGAGGCGGTGGTCCACAATATGTACAAATTTAGAGACTTCTCTGTTTTATGAAATATATTAATGTGAGGTTTTTGAGATTAATAGAGAATAATTATCAAATCATTTAAACATGTACTACAAAGACACTTGTTACGCTCATTGATACATTGTCATCTTATCATGAGAAAAATTCAATGTTAGTAATAGTAGCATTAATACATCGTCATCTTATCAAAGTTTGTTCTTGTGCCCACTCTGCTTTCGAGATTTAATCTTCACTTTGGTCTTGCTTTGATGGGAAATGTTTCCAAGGAGAAGATGGCATCTCAGAGGAGCGGTTGCATGTTTTTATTCAATGGAGGTTGAAATAAATTAATCTTCACTTTGGTCTTGCTTCGATGGGAAATGTTTCCAAGGAGAAGATGGCGTCTCAGAGGACCGGTTGCATGTTTTTATTCAATGGAGGTTGAAATAAGAGAGATGTTCTGAAGATTCATATGGATCGAAAGGAAAGGAAGGCATTGCATAGAATTCAAAGCCTACATAACAAAAAGGATTATCAAGGAGTTTACGGGGAGCATTGCGACTTCAAACTGGATTTTGGATGTCAATCTAAATGAGAAGACTCTATAGAAAACCTCAGTGCTACTCGCTTTGCATCCTTTCTATGTGGAACCAGTGGCTATATTTATGAAAGCTAGTGTTGGATCAGTAGTTTTTTATTCTTTGAATGACTGAAATGGTTCCAATAAAGTTATGATCTCGCCTCTGAGTCTAGGTGACTATGTGTTGGTTTATTTCTCTTTTTTTTTTTTTAATATTTTACAGTTTTGCGCTGCTAATACTAAAGTTTTTCTTTTACAGAAAAATCTTTTAATCAACAGTTGGAGCTTATGCCTCTTCTCAATGAATCCATTATAAATATGATGAGCAGTGAAAGATCAATCCATGAAGGCGGTGGAGGAAACTCATAAGGGTGTAGGTTAACTCATTCCAAAAGGTTATGCTTGCTACTCCTGTATTAGCACAATCGCCTTACACTCATTGATCATCATCTTATGAATACAAGTGGGCGCGCTACCTTGGAACTGGACGAAATTAGAAATAAATCCATGTAGATGAAAATAATTGTCTCTGAAGGGGTGTCCCAGGGGAGGTACCGATAGTTATTCCTGAGAACGAGTCCTTGGTGGAAGGAGCTGGAACCACCTTATGGGTTCCCTTGATCTCTAGAGCCTCATAAATTAGTTGAGAGAAGAGTTGTGATCGACTAACCATGAGATGGGGAAGATGGATGAGAAGCTCACACAAGCTTTGGAGGAGCTCGTAAAAGTTGGAAATAAGGGTTATTAATTGTGAATTATAAGACAATGCATTTTGAAAATAGGCCACTTGATGTGCAAGATCATGTTATGGACCTGAAGGACGAATTGTAGAAGGCTAAGGGACACAAAATTTCTTTGGAGGATAAACTAGCAATGATTTTATGGAAATCCCGAACAATTGCAAAGTGTTAGAGGAGATAAAGTCAAGTTTGTCACTTTTCTTTAGTGTGTGGAGCAGTCTAAATCCGGACAGTTTACTACCGGAGGACATTTAGTCACTTTTGCAGCCATGGAAGATTAATTTGAATGATATAAAGGACCAGAACTTTTATTTTATGAAAAACTATGATTGTATTTTCATGTAAATTTTGTCTTGTAACATTTAACATGAAAAAATTTTCAAATTTTTTATTTTTTTCCAAAATAAAACCCATATTATTTTTGGTGGTGAGTTATGTGTGCAACATCCTTATGATGTTGACTAATTTATTATTAAGTAACTTTTCAATTTTTGAATATCTTTCTATTCGGCTACTCCTTTTCACTTTTGGGATGTATTTTTGCTTTTACCTTCACATTTACATAAGGGTTTAAATGATTCAAATTCTTCATTCTTTCTTAAGCCCTTCTTCTTTTGCATTTAACACTTGTGAGTTGTGCCTTAGTTTATTCAATCCTTTTGTAATTTTTTTTTATGTAACCATAACAAATTTAGAAGAAATGCAAAGAAAACTCATATATTCTTCAGCTTGCTAATACCAATGCATAAATGAGTCAACATACACTTTAGAATATGAATTGGTGAAGGATTATTCAGAGGATTTTTTATCTAGTCAATCATGTTACTCTAATTTAGAGGTAGAATCTCGCAGTTGTTATCCTACAAGGGCCACTTCAAAGGAGGATTATTCACCAAGTCAAGATGTTTCTTCTCAGTATTCATTAGCGTAGTGGGGCATGAGATCTTCAGGATGAATTGAAACACTTGTTTTAAATAGAAAATCCTCTTTCATGAAGTTATTGATATAGTACAATTCAAATTACAAATCTCTAGTGTACAAGAAGCCAAGCATCTGCAATACATCAGCCACTATGTTTTGAAGAGGAATAGGTAGCTTTGTAGTTTTCATTAACTTTTGCAAGATTTCTGGCCATTCTATGCAAAGAAAAATGCTCTAGAAATTCCTAATCGGATCATTTGTTTGAATATCCAGTACTTTGCTTCTAAAGATATACGATAATTTGTATCAGTAATGAACGTGTCGATCCTGTCTAAAATCCCGAATGTAAACTTAGCCCCACATTTTCTAAAAGGGACGCCAACGAGCAACGATATTCATCTCTCGACAAGGGAACTGTGAAAAGATAACCATTGTAGTTGATAGAATGTCCAACAACTCAAGCACCGATGGAAAATGTTGGTTGACACATGTAATTGCCTCATAAATTGTGATATACGAAGGAGGAGGCAAACAAGCTCAATTGGAAAGAGCTAGCAATGTAACCACCATGTCGTCCAGAAAATGATACTTTTACTAGAAAAGTATCAACACATTTTTTGTTAGATTTGATACCACCTCATTAGGATTTTGATACTTACTATTTTTGAGGGATCGTGGTTTTTTAGATGTTAAGATTTCATACAAAATTCTAGCATAGAAAATCTCCCCCAATAATGGAAACCATAGCCCAAGGAACGAGGTAACCATAATCCGAGGAAGGATGCATCCACAACTTGAGGTAGGAGGCAAACCCAGTCCAAAGAAGGAGGCAACAATAGCCCAAAAACTGAGGTAACAAGCCTAAAAAAGAGAGACAACTACAACATAAAAGAGGAGGTCAAGACATCATAAAAGGGGAGGCAGCAACAACCTGAAGGACGGACTCTGACCAGTGGAGGAGATTTGTTCTTTCTCCCACTTTCAATGAGCTTATTTGTTGATAAAAAAAATAGAAT